ACACACACACACACACACACACACACACACACACACACACACACACACACACACACACACACACACACACACACACACACACACACACACACACACACACACACACACACACACACACACACACACACACACACACACACACACACACACACACACACACACACACACACACACACACACACACACACACACACACACACACACACACACACACACACACACACACACACACACACACACACACACACACACACACACACACACACACACACACACACACACACACACACACACACACACACACACACACACACACACACACACACACACACACACACACACACACACACACACACACACACACACACACACACACACACACACACACACACACACACACACACACACACACACACACACACACACACACACACACACACACACACACACACACACACACACACACACACACACACACACACACACACACACACACACACACACACACACACACACACACACACACACACACACACACACACACACACACACACACACACACACACACACACACACACACACACACACACACACACACACACACACACACACACACACACACACACACACACACACACACACACACACACACACACACACACACACACACACACACACACACACACACACACACACACACACACACACACACACACACACACACACACACACACACACACACACACACACACACACACACACACACACACACACACACACACACACACACACACACACACACACACACACACACACACACACACACACACACACACACACACACACACACACACACACACACACACACACACACACACACACACACACACACACACACACACACACACACACACACACACACACACACACACACACACACACACACACACACACACACACACACACACACACACACACACACACACACACACACACACACACACACACACACACACACACACACACACACACACACACACACACACACACACACACACACACACACACACACACACACACACACACACACACACACACACACACACACACACACACACACACACACACACACACACACACACACACACACACACACACACACACACACACACACACACACACACACACACACACACACACACACACACACACACACACACACACACACACACACACACACACACACACACACACACACACACACACACACACACACACACACACACACACACACACACACACACACACACACACACACACACACACACACACACACACACACACACACACACACACACACACACACACACACACACACACACACACACACACACACACACACACACACACACACACACACACACACACACACACACACACACACACACACACACACACACACACACACACACACACACACACACACACACACACACACACACACACACACACACACACACACACACACACACACACACACACACACACACACACACACACACACACACACACACACACACACACACACACACACACACACACACACACACACACACACACACACACACACACACACACACACACACACACACACACACACACACACACACACACACACACACACACACACACACACACACACACACACACACACACACACACACACACACACACCCACGACACACAACGTTGCTCAAACATGCACACACACACACACACACACACAAACAAACACACACACACATACACACACACACACACACACACTCCTTCCTAAAAACTCCTTTCGTCTCCTACTGCGTGCTGTAGATGGCTCCATTCGCGGGCTTGCAAGGCCTCGCAATGCGTCCAACAGCGGAAAACAGAGTCAGAGTGACGAGACCCGAAGTTCGTCCTGTAATCTGCTCAGTTGACTTTCCGCTGTGGAATTCTACTGGGCGACACTATCGCCATTTGGACCTTTTATGCCAAAAAACATACATGTGCGCATGTACATGCAAGAGTATACAATCATTTATCGCCTTCTTAGTATTTGACCCCACTAATTTCCCTGATACCTAAGCGGTCAAATATATCGCGTATTTGACTGCTTAGTCAAATACACAATATATTTGACTACTTATATTTGACTCCTTAGAATTTCTTGGACTTAGAAATTTTCTCTCCAACTTAGAAAAAGAAATTTTTGAAGAAAGCAGAAATACACAAGATGGGATTTGAACCCACAACCTTGTGAATCTCAGTCACTCTTCCTTACCACCCAGCCACTGTGCTACCGATGCTGAACTTAGTTTAAACAATGATCTTGACTTTCAATGCAGTACAATGCGGTATAGGCTATAGTATAATACATGGATGCAGTGAATGGGATTTTCGGTCTTTGACCACTTGCTGGTGAGCTGATCTACTCACCTCCCACCGCTTTAGGAGCTGCATCTGCGCCTTGATCCTTGAAGGGCGGTGGCGTTCCTACGGATGCGGAAAACCCGGCTTCCAGCCGAGTCTCACGCGAACCGTGAATTTATTTTTTATTTTTTTAATACTAGAATTACAAGGATATGTCGTATATGAAGAGAAACTATTGCGTGGAGAACACGATAAATAGATTATAGACCTGATAGTTGGTCTATACAGGATATATAGACCTCGTAAAAGACCTCGGGGGACCTCGGTCTTTTACTCGGTCTATATATCCTGTATAGACCTCCTAACCGGTCTATAATCTATACGTACAATGTGTATTCTTGCATGTACTCGTGCATATACAGTACATGTACAATGTATGCTTACAGGGGTTGCGGGTTCGAATCCAGGAGCAGAAACTTTCTTTGTTTCTTCTTTTTCGCATCTTCTTTGCGTCTGTTTGTGATTATTTCTTCTCTGAAATAAATGCAGCAAGCACACTGGTAGCCAGATGGGATGAGAAGCCTTTTTTCGTTTTCTTTTTTAATTCCATCAGTTTGACGGGCGGCTGACTGAAATTTTGGAATTCTTATGTAGGAAATTATGTCAGAAATACAGGTAAAGAGAAAAGGACCTATAAGTTTCAAGTTATGACTAACAGTCCACCAAGGTAACCAAGGCAACCGAGATAATATACAGTCAGATGATAGTGCGACAAGAAGGCACAAAATAGACAAGGATATTTAAAAGACACTCGACGACCTGACACCGACCGCGTACTTCCAACGCATCTACCAAGCGCAAACCAACAACCTTCCAACTTGGAAGGCTCATGTGCGGAAAGTTCCAATGAGATGAAGGGCTGCGCCACGAAGATGTGCACGAGCTACGTCCCTCGGCAACAAAGAATGTCGAACGTTACGGGATGATGACGTGACCCGTGACCATTGAACAAACCGGTCTAACTACAACTCAAAAAAGCAAGGCAACAGACACACCCAACTTGGGAGGGTCAAAGGTATGTAAAATACGTAAAGAGGGGAAGCCAAGCGAAGGCGAACTGTCACAAACCGAAAGCCAATATCCTACTAAACTCCATGTTGATAATAACGATGATGGACATGATGCATTGTGAGAGTCCAAAGAACAGATGTACTATTATATTCAATAACGTTAGTGCCTCTGCGTAGCAAATTATACCTCTCTTTCTCAATTATTAGCCAAGTTATTATGTGAATCTTGTCTGCATGTTAAATAAAGCAATGTGAAAAAGTGGGTTTTAGGAAAGGGGCAGAAAACCGAATTCGAGGTTCAAGATGGTCTCTTGAAAGTTTGCACTGTATAGTCAATAGACCACAGCACCTACATACATGTGTACTACCAAATGTTGGTCAAGATCTGACAATAAATGATTTGGAGCAAAAGTGTCCCGAACTAACTTAAATCATATTTTAACTACCTTAGAAGACAAGAAATTCCAGTTGTTGAAATTACAGGTAAACGTATAAAAAATCAGGCAAACTTATTTTTTCTTCAGACTTTTTCCCTTTTCCATTCCCTCAACCTGTGAACCTACTTTCAATAAAATTTAAAAGTAATGACAAAAAATCTGTTTTATTTCGAGGTAAATGTATCTTGGATTGTATCTTGTATCTTCCATTGGAACTTGTGTATGTGTGTGTTTGCGTGTGTGTGTGTGTGTGTGTGTGTGTGTGTGTGTATGTGTGTGTGTTATCGTACGCTTTCCAGTCTCTGAACGCCAGCCTGGAGGAGGAAAAAGCCAAAGTTAAAAGCCAAGAAATCCAGTTGTTGAAACTGCAGGTAAGCTTACTTTTAATAAAATTATAAACCATTATTTCATCAGTGCAATTAGGAGTATAATCGATGCAGACATGGCCAGACAACAACGAGTTCATGGAATTTTTAAGGATTTTTATGTTATATATTTAAGCGGAGATACAATAGTGAACAGATAGTTGTTCTGAACAAAGCCTTGCGGAAACGCCATGTTTGTCGTAGTATTGCACTAAATATATAACATAAAAATCCTGAAAAATTCCATGAACTCGTTGTTGTCTGGCCATGTCTGCATCGATTATACTCCTAATTGCACTGATAAAATTGCTTTCTCCACGCCGACTCTTTAAACCATTATTTCGTAAAATTAGAAACATTCACAAAAATCTGTTTTTACTTCGAAGTACAGTACGTACATGCATCTTGGATTGTATCTTGTGTCTTCCATTGAAACTTGTGTCGCGACTGGTAAGTGTCGTCGCGCAGGCGTGCAAAGGCAACCGAAGGTGCGCTATAGCTAACTAGAGTAGACTGACGAACGAACGAACACACACACACACACACACACACACACACACACACACACACACACACACACACACACACACACACACACACCAAGTCAAAACGGGCTGCCTTTGATTCTTGAGAGCACACTCCAATCAAACAGAAGAGAAGCAAAAACGATCGACGTCGACTTGAAAACAACAAGGCTCGCTCGTTAGGCAGGGGCGGGTAATGCTAGCATTATGGCTGGCATTATAGTCCCTTTTTCAGGTGGCATAATGCTGGCATTATAACACCATTTCGCATGCACAATTGGCATTACAAGCATAATTGCCGGTCAACAACGGTGTCATGCATGAAGCTGGCTAGGTCCAGTTCCGAAAATCGTGCATCTGAACCCGTCCGGCTTCGTCCGGAGACTTGACGTTGCAAATCAACCTTCTCAGTGGATTGTTTCAGACAACATGCTCACTGCTGTTTAAGTTGTTTTCTTCTACGCTTTGGCCTTGATCCAAGACGGCCTTCTTAAATCGACTTTTCCAACTTTCAAACTGATATTGTGGAGTAGTGTGAGCATTATAAGTGGCATTATATCCTCATATTATGAGCATTGTCTTTAGCATTTTCGCAGCAAATAACTAGCATTACCCGCCCATGCCTATTGCTCGTGGTAAAAAGAGAATCCTGAAGTTTGACGGGTAAATGCAGCAAGCAGCCCGAACGTACCTTGCCAGAGTGCTCAAACTGGCAAGTCAGTGAGCTCTGCATTTCGCAAATAGCGAAGGTACTACCCCACACAAGAGTGCTCAACTACTACAAGAGCAGGAGCGAAATACATTATTGTGTATGTGTGTGTGTGTGCGTGCATGCGCGCGCGCGCGTGTGTGTGTTTAAACCCTTTGTAATTAAGAAAACCCATCCTTGCAATAATAACCTATGGCTGGAATGTTTTCGAAGGCAGCTGGTTGGATAATTCTATCACTTTGCTAGAGGCTGCTATCCATAAAGCTGTGTTCTATTATATAGGCCCTGGCGGATAATGCTCGAAAGTTTGATGGGTTCTGCTTCTCAATATGCTCGCATTCTGCACCAAAATAGCTTGAATTGTTCTTCGGAAATGGAGATAGTGGCATAGATTGTTAATGTTGCAGATTGATAACAGCATACACGTATTTTGCAGCATAACTAGGTCGTGTTCTACGAAACAGAAAAATACAAGAAGCACAGAATTATTATTACTCAGCAGGCAAAGGTGCGGTAGTACTAGTCGCGAGGGCATTGTGAATTCCCACCAAAATCCCATATTGTGCACTAATAATGCTAGTTTTCGCAAGAATATGCTAGTTTTCGGAAAAAAACTTGCCGGATTATTGATAGCGCAGTGCTAGTCTCCAGAAACTGCTAATTATGCTCGATGTAATGCTAGCATTATCCGCCGGGGTCTAGTTCCATCACACTGGTGCGTATGGAGTGGTCTCACACCCTTGTTGGCACAGGAACTCCAGGAAGTGATCACGTCATGTGGACAGTGTAACCAACATGGCTACCGACATCATGTGACCCATAGATGCAGGGGTTAGTGGAGTTGCAACCAACATGGCTGTCCTATAGTCATTATGATACACAAAGGGAACAACAGAGACTAGGTTGTATGGTTCTGCCAATTTCACTGCTTTTCGAGCAGAGTCCGCCGGTCCTTAACAGAGACCAAAAATCCTTCTCGTGACTCCGAGTTTCGTGTTTCAAAAAACACTCATCGGACGATAAAACTGATACCGTATTTTTCGGAGTATAGTGCGCACCTTTGCATAATGCGCACCCCCAATCTTCATTGAGGGTGCGCACTTCAATCTTCATTGAAGTACATGCATTTCATATTCGGAGCATAGTGCGCACCTGCGATTTAGGGCCTAAAATAGCACGTCTAAAGTGCGCACTATACTCCGAAAAATACGGTAGATATGAAACCACTCCATACAGGCTATTACAAGTACATGTAGTTGGTGAACTCTGTTTGTTTTCCCCTCTATTATGTACTCATTTCTGTTTCTATAGGAGCAACAGAAATGTAACCCCGCTGAGCTGGGCTTCGCTTACACGGCAGATCGTATGACATTCGGTGGTGTCGCTCAGGTTGCCAAGGTAACCATCAAGAAGAAGCAATCGTCAACACTTCTTCACATTTCCTACACTAGTAATATTCGCTCCTACGGAAACCACGGATCGCAGGCGCGATGGTATGCCAAGATTAATGACCTAGAATGCACCATTCCAAACAAAGTGGACATGCTTTTATACCGTGACAGTAGCTTAGGCCTATCTTACTCTCCAGCTCACCTGGATGGTCTATGCAAAAAAAGCCGGACTGGACACTTCTCGGCTGGTTATCACACGGTATCTATCCACACTGAGGACGTGGGTGGCGTGGTACCTTTCAATGCATATACTGGCTACCTTAGCACCTCAACACTTCAAGTTCGTGAAATTTGTGGCTAGTTTTTTTTGGTGCGTTTTATGTCCCCATGACGTCGAGACCTCAGGGCGGCTGAGGACAAAAAGTCTCACCATCACTATGCTCCCACTACGCCATATTTTGTCTTAGCCTGTGGGCTGTGACCATTGTAAAAGAAATATTTAAAAAATTAATGCTACGCATGAATCTGTTTACATTATAATACTGAAGTAATTGTGTTTTGTCACCTTCTCTATTCTCACATAGTTGTGTGGGTAGGGTTCACAACATCTCCGTTCTACACTATTCATTCGTGTTGATTTGTCACAATCGGTCACGTGATAGCTAGTTGAGTATACACACATTGTGTCAGTATCCTCTATAAAACAATATCATTTAGTTCAACCACTTTCATTCAATATCTGCCTCTCCTCTGATGGGTTCCCATCACCAAAATGGAACGAAACAAGGCTTGTCAGGAGCTACTTGTAGCCGGCGTGGAGTGTGTCTGGTGAAATGTTCCTGTTGGTGTCTGGTGTCTGAAGCCCTTCTTGATTGCTGATCTTCGTAAGCCAACGTGCTTGGTGTGTGTATGTGTGCGCGTTTATATGTGTGGTGGTTTGTGTATGTGTGTGTGGGTGCCTGCAGGACTGCATGAGTGCGCGTATGGAGCTATGAAGCCGAGACCTCTGGTCGGCGGAGCTTAATGGGCCCCACCACCACACTCCATCATTCACCCCAGCGTCTGGAGATATGTGGATTTTGTAGAAAAAAAAAGAAAAGAAAAATACCGGTATACATTGAACATGTATGTGCTCTTGTGTATGCATGGACAGACTCAGGCTCACGTTCAATAGGCAATTGAGTCACCTTTCCAACAATCATTTTTTATCTCTCTCTCTCTACTCTCCCATGATCCCAAGAGGAGGCGCACGTGAGGCAGTAGCAAGTACACGTACAAATATGGACAGAGTGAAATGTCACTGGTAAAGGATCTCCAGGTAAATCGATCAGTCTGCAGAGCCATCTGACATATTATAATATCGTCATGGCAATAAGTTTAGACTCACTGGCATTCATTGATTCAGTTCAGTGTTCTACATGCTGTTGCAGACCTGTCACCAAAAATGTGTATTATTACTTCGAAGAAGAAGCATACAGGGAAGTTGCCAATCAACCACACACGCCTTGACCTTGACCTTGCCCATTCCGTAGAAATGATAGCGCATTGGTATTTCTCCAGTCTATGATATAATTACTGATGGCGTTTCAGGTCGCAGCTTCAACGGTACATGTACATGCGACCGCAGGCGCAACAGTAGCTAGCAGCTAGCTGTGGGTGCCTTGGGTTGTCCACGGGAATGATCCGCCACTTCGGACGGTTCTGGGCTGCATCGTACCAGCCACATGTCGGGTGGCTCAACCGACGCACGTACACACAAATCGCACAGACACACACAAAATGCATCTCTCCTTCTGTCTAGTCTGGCTTTGGCGTTTAGGACTACATGTAGGGACGTGAACCCACGCATTGCGTACTTGTTCAGCCTTTGCCCGAAATACCCCCAAACCTGATGCATAACCAGTCCAAAGATAATTGTTCATAGCATAACTCAGTAGCGATTGGCAGTACAGCGATCAATGAACGATCACATCTTTGTTAGGCAATGAATGAAACTACATATGCGCACTCATACCACAATCATAGCAGCGAATAAAGAGTCCCAGAAAAACCTATTACTCTTTGATACCCTCTTCAGTCACGAGCTTCCATTGAGAATTGTGACAAGAAAACGTTCTGGAACACTTCATTCGTTGCTATGATTGTGATAATCATGAGTAAGCATGGACTCGGATGAAGAGCCAAGGATAAATTTATAGCAAAGAAAAAGGACCAAGAAACTACAAGTTACAAGTGTCGTGCAATGTTATCGCATCAGCTGATTGTTTAGTAACCGGTGGTGTGGTGGATATTCTAGCATAGCTTGTAGTTTCTTGCTCCTTTTCTTTACTATAAATATGAGTAAGCAATGAAATGTTTTTTTTTACACATTACCCATTAGGATACCTCAACGCAAACACTCAAAACACGTCTCTTTGCTGTATACGTCATCAACCTTTTCACCAAATTTTCGGGCATGGCCAATCATCAGCAGGCACCGGCGGATTATGCCGGCATAATTATTGGCATAATTTGGTGGTTGAAAATCTGGAGCATAATTTGGCATCCTCTAATAGGTAGGAGCATAACTACACGATTATACCACAGTTCTAGCATGTAGGCTATACAATTGTGTACAATGCACCTGATCAGTGCTGGTGGTCTGCATGGTAAAGAGTTTGGAGGTCATGCAGGTAGTGTTTTCAATGAAAAGCAGGGTAGAAATCATGGCAATACAGTATTGTATGCTCGAACTCGTCTTCTTCAAAGTTCTTTCTCACACTGACACAGTACATGTAGCAGAAGATGCGAGTGAATCAGCCTTCATCAGATATCCCGGGGCGGACGAGATAGTGGCGGGTGGTCCGCAAAACTCCGTGTACATGTCATGTACCGGTATAATGTACATTAAATTTTGTACATTATGCATACTACGAAGTCATGACCTCTGGATTTTAGCAGCCATGATATGACTGCAGGCTATGGATATTGCTCTAAATTGATGTATAGTTGATGTTCGGTCATGATGGAAGGAGAAGTGGCGCTACGGGTGAGATGAGCTGACTATTCGCAGGATGAGGGTGACATCGGTTGGACGAGTATGATGATTACGAAGACAGTTGAACATTATAATTTTCAAAGGTAACTCAAAATAATTTGGCAATGAAATAATATTTTTACTGAAGTACAAAAGGTTGATAAATATGGTGGTAAAGACACACCTGGCAGTATGGCGGTAAACACACGCCTGCCCACACACGCTCTCTAGGCTGCAAAGTTCTGGCACAGAGCTCTCCTTCTCACCACCACCACCATCAGTTCGCGCCTGGCGCCTGGTCGATGCATGGCTGGTGGTATCCGGCATAGCAGGCTGGTACATCAAGTAGCGCATGGCACATAGATGATGACACAGCAACGACTTAGCTCGATTGCGACGTACGTTTCGTCCCCGCTGGACTCATCAGGCAATCTTCTTCTTGCATCCAAGAAGTACAAAAGAAATCAAGTAATGAATTGAAGAAGTGATGTTTTCTCTTTTCCATGTTGATCTCTAACATGCATGGACACCTTGGTATGGAGATACTCATGTATTTTGTTGTACTTATGGCCACTTGCAACTTGCAAGTACGAAAAAAGGCACAATTTTCCGAACTTTGAGGCTCGATAAGTACAACAAAGTGAATATGTATATGTTATCGCATGGTTGCAAGGGCCTTATGGCATATTATTGCCCCGAGAGGTAGCCCGAGGGCCGTAGGCCCGAGGGCTAACCTCGAGGGGCAATAATATGCCATAAGGCCCGCAGCAACCATGCGATAACAAATTTATCACATGGCCCATAGAGCAGACCATTGGGCTGCTGTTGAAATTAGCCCAAATGCCAACACATTATGACCAAAATGTATATTGATGTGCTATCATTATCAAAACAGGAAAAATGAAGATATTTCTCCTACACCCTAACAAAAAGTCTGCTACAGGCCATCAGAGAGGATACAGTACTGAAAGACGGAGACAAAAAAAAGTGCCGGCACCGCATCGTCATAGCAATAGACATGGCAACGACAATAAAATACAGCAGAATCATAATTTCAGTTGAAAAATTAAGAGTGCTACCACAAAGAGTTTCTTCATGTTTACATGTGTATCATTAAGTGGTCAAATACAGTACTGCAACAAGTGCAAGTATTTGACGACTCCCTGGTGTGTAATTCTGAGGACAATTTTTCTTCTTTTTTTCCAGCTCCAGATAGCTGTATTTTTCATTGCAAACATTCTTGAATTGTTGTGTTTGTTGTTCAAGCAAATGTGAAGGCAGAGGACAGATGAGCCTGGTAAGAGTTTTGCGTGGCACATGAAGACCACACACAGGCAGTGACTTTGCGAGGATTTGAAAACGCACGACGATGAGTTGAATTTGTGTTATTTCAAATAATTGTTTGTGAACACAGTACCACTTCGAGCAGAACTGAATCTTATCCACAAGCTTACCGACGGTCAGGCTGCCAACATGACTGAACAAATGATCCCTGCAAGCACCACACGGCAGACGTCCGAGGCCATGTCCATTGCCGGGATGTCCATCTCCAAAAAGAATTCCATCTTCGTCTCACTCACACTGCGACTCGTCGTAGAGTCGTACAGTCTACAGAGTCGTCGTAGTCACGCGATCACTGAAATAAACAATTTTTTGCGGGCAAATAAACTATTTCTTTGCGGGCTATATCGCATATTATTGCCCGCGGCGCGAAAGGTGCTGATTCGCTGGAGTACGGGCAACAATCACGTGCCATGTGATAAACATGTTTATACCCAGCTCATATTAACCCCCACTAATTCCTGTGGTCTATAACTGGTGAATATATCTCCATATTCACCACTTTAACTTGGGGTATAATAAAATAAATAAATTTCACGGTTCGCGTGAGACTCGGCTGGAAGCCCAGTTTTCTGCATCCGTTGTGGGAACGCCACCACCCTCTAGGATCAAAGGCGCAGATGCAGCGCCTAAGCAGTGGGAGGTGAGTAGATCAGACCCACCACCAAGTGGTCAAAGACCGAAATCCCATTAGCTGCATCCATGTTACCCTCGTGCCAGGCCACAAGTTCCCAAATAACTGTGGGTCGCAGCACGGCTGGAAAAATTCCTTCCGCTTCCAAGCAGGACTTGAACCTGGTACCCTCTGTTTCTCAACCATGGTCTTAGACCATCCCACTATGCCTGCCTGCACTTTGCTATATTACCCACTTAGAGGTTGTAACTTTTCAACTTTCAAGGGAATTTCTCTCCAATTGAAAAAGAAAAAAATTGAAGAGAAGAAAGAAGTTTCAGCAGGAATCGAACCTGCAACCATAAGATTCCCAAGCACCTATCTTGACCAACCTGCCACCAGGGTGTTGATGCAGATGTTGGTTGAAAGATAGGTCTTAGGTCTGGAACACGCAATTCTACCTACACATAATAGTATACTATAGTATACTGGGATACTAAAATAGCTATTTCGACCAGTATTTGAGGCCAAAAACGAAGCTAGGTATAAATAGAATAAACACCTCTGTCTTGTGTTTATGGGAATATAAACACTGTCCATAAAAACCTCCGCTACGCCTCGGTTTTTATAGCAGTGTTTATATTCCCATAAAAATCCCCTCTGTTCAAGTCCTATTCTCATTGGTCTCGGCTTCCGCAGGAGGTAAAGTCTCGTGACACCTTCGCTGCATTTTGTTCCATTCTGCCCGCGCCTAAGTTGAATTGAATTGAATTCGTTGTTTTCCATTGATAGCCTAATCTTCATACTGCTCTCTCCAGGTTCCTATAGTACTCCTTTTGTTTTCTTTTCTTTTCTCTTTTTCTTCTCCTTCTTTTTCTCAGTTGTCCCCACCATGGCTGGTTAAAATCGCCCGCATCACATGCTTATTGGCACTATGTCATCGTGATTGTGTAATAATAATAATAATAATAATAATAATACTCATAAAAAGGACACACTTCAGGCTCATTAGCCTGAAGTGTGTCCTTTTTATGAGTATTATCGCATTTTTGTCTCAGAGGAAACTGAATAATAATAATAATAATAAAAACACTACGACATCGGTGTTTATTCTATACATATCCCCGGGTGCCAAAGCATAATATGAGGATTTTACGAGCATAATGCGAGAATCCATGAAAGCATAATTCCTTGATTTCGCGAGCATAATCCACCGGAGCCTAATCATCAGGGTGACAACGGAAGAACTAATGCGACCAAACAGTGGATTGAGTAGATATGCAATGCGGTGCTGTAGGAAAGTGATAGGAAGAGCGCGGAAAAAAAAGGTGCCAGAAATGTGTGTACGCTGTACAATGTATTGTACCAATAGAAAACATTGAAACGATTATTTGAGCATAGCCTAGGAGTCGAATGTATTCCAAACAATATCCACATGATATATAAAGGAGGTTGATTCATCGGTAGCATATCATACTAGGCACAAATTTCACGAACTTGCAGTGTGGATGTAGAATCGTAGCCAGTTAATGCATCGAAATGTTGATAACGTGGTCCAGCGTCGATAGTTATAGTATGGTATCCAGCTGCGATGTTTCCAGAACCGATTCTTCTGCATATACCCTCCAGATGAGCTGGACTGTAAGTCACCGGTGCATTATTGTTACGGTTTTGCACCATGTCCACTTTGTTTGGACTGCTGCATTCTCGTCCATCAATAAGGGCATACCATCGAGCTTGTGTTTGACTTTTTCCGTATGTGCGAATATTGGTAGTGTAGGCGATGTGAAGTACAGTTGACGATTGCTTCTTCTTGATGGTTGCCCTAGCAACCTGACGGGCGCCAAAGAATTGTGTGCGATCTGTCGAGTAGACGAATCCCAGCTCAGAAGGGTTACATTTCTGTTGCTCCTATTATGGAAACAGAAATGAGTACAGTCATAATAGAGGCACTCAAACACAGTCCACCAAGTAATAGCCTATAGCCTGTACGCGTACACGCACCAGTGACGTGGAACACAACTCTATGGATAGCAGCAAGAGTACATAACCACCTGGGGGAGTTATGTACTCTTGATAGCAGTCACTAGCCGGTAATATAATTATCCCACCAGCTGCTTTCGAAAGCATTCCCGAGCGGGAGGTTGCTAGATGGGTCGTTTTCATTTCACAAGATTCAAACACACCCACACACCCACCCAAACACACACACACACACACACACACACACACACACAAACACACACACACAGACTAGGGTCCAGCGGATTCTGCCGGCAGGAAATTGGCAGAATTCGGTACTTTGTCTGGTAAGTTTCATGCATGTTTGGTATGTGGATAAAGAAATGGAGCAGAATTCGAGGAATTGCCCGCCATAAGGTTTGTATGGTTTTGCCAATTTTACTGGTTTTCGAGCAGAATCCGCCGGTTCCTAACACAGACACACATTATGTATACAATGTACAGACATAGCGGACACACACACACACACACACACACACACAAACATACACAAGTTCCAATGGAAGATACACGATACATACCAAGATTCATGTACCTAGTAGGAATGCAACAGATTCTTGGCAAGGGTTTTTATTTTTTTGATGTCGCAGAAATGTAGTCAGTGTGTGTGTGTGTTAGCATCCACCGATCACACTGCCATGTTGGCATCTGCCACGCACCGCTGCATCAGTGCTTTGCGCACTGCACTCACACTGCCGGCGCATAGATTTGGGCACGCTTAGCATGACGTCACACAACTGCTTCTTTTGAATTTTCTCTTTCTTTCTTGCTGTTGGCTTCACTTCAAAGTCTAATCAGTGGTGACTTTAAGCTTATGCCAGCATCACATTTTCACCTTCCACCCGTCCCATCTTATCATCTTGCTAAAGGTACTAGGGAACATTTAGCTCTATCGCTCCGAACAGGTCATTTGCTTCGCTAGTTGCGGCTCTTCATGAGCCAGTTGTTGCCAACTGCATTGGCTTTGCCTTGCAACCCCATTGTGGCACAATGTGGGGTTTTTGCCGCTCCTCGCGAGCCAGTTGCTGCCAGTGGCCTGGCATTGCTTTCCAGCTCTTCGAGCTTTTGCATTACAAGACCAGTTACTCGAAGCAGCATACTATCTCCAAAACAATTCATTGTTGCCTTGGGCTGAGTATGAGTGTGTGAGGGATATGGTGCTAAAAGTAAGTTTACCTTCAGTTTCAACAACTGGATTCCTTGGCTTTTAACTTTAGCTTTTTCCTCCTCCAGGCTGGCGTTCAGAGACTGGAGAGCGCACGATAACACAAACATAAACACACACGTACAAACGTACACACACACACACACACACACAGACCAGTTCCAATGGAAGATACAAGGTGCAATCCAAAATACATGTACTTCGAAGTAAAACAGATCTTTGTCAATGGTATTAATTTGGGGAATTGTGTGTTGCTCCTTTTGTTTGAGCTGGCGGTTTTCTTGCGGATTTGAATTCTCACTTGACTGGCTCGCGACCGCTATCCAGAGCACACGAGAGGTCCATCGAGAATTCCACTCGGCAAACCTGCAAAAAAGCACTACTCTCTGCTCAATACACAGTGTTTCGGGGAATTCACCCCTCATCTGTTGAGCTTGAGTATTAATTTCATTGAAAGTAAGCTTACCTGCAGTTTCAACAACTTGATTTCTTGGCTTTTCCCTTTGGCTTTTTCCTCCTCCAAGCTGGCGTTCAGAGACTGGAGAGCGTACGATAACACACACACACACACACACACACACACACACACACACACACACACACACACACACACACACACACACACACCTCAGACCTCAGACATGCCCATCGCGGAAGCGATGATAGCGAACAGCTATGTTAGACATAGCAACTTGTGCTGGGATTACACCATTCAACAGCTTGCAAGGCTGATGAATTGACCGCCACTATTTTTAGCCTGGTATCCACCACACAGCTGTTTGAAGTGACTTTTTCTGGCCAGTGAATCCCTATTTTTCATTTTTCCATTTTTTTCTACACACACACCACACCACATACTCCGGCATACACTGGCTGTTTATTATTGATGTCGAAATATTATTGACGTGTCATGCCAGTCACCCATCGTCAGAACAATTTACAAGGGGCGAACCTGGCCTTTTATAACGAAAGCAAGCGAGAGCGCATACAAAACAAACGAAACACACAATATGTAGTTATTGTTGCGCTCAGGTGGTGGTGGTGAAATGGACGCAGAGTTAAAATTTTATTGAAAGTATGCTCGCAGGTTGAGGGAATGGAAAAGGGAAAACGTCTGAAGAAAAAATATGTTTGCCTGAATATTTTAAATTATTTTTTATTAATTACCTGCAGTTTGAACAACTGTATTTCTTGTTTGGCCTTTTCCTTCTCCAGGCTGGCATTCAGAGACTGGAGAGCGTACGATAACTGCATCAATGTTTCTGGGATTGGATCATATCGTGAAAGTGTGAGCCAGCCTGCACATGAAATTATAATAAGAACATTACATCATCATATTAAAGAACATGACATCATATTAAATAAAGACATGCCTTCATAATAAGACCAGGACCTCGTAATAGGAAAGGCACAATCTCGATCGGAATAAAACCTCCTGAACCTGATTGAGGCCGAGAACACAAACTGGACATGGTCTCATGCAGGATGATTGTTAGGGTGAAATTCGATGCAAACATGAAACAAAACTATAATAATCCAAACGAATGTCCACCGATGAAGGTGGCAAGAAAAGATTCTGATCTAACCTTGTGAGATTTCGATGTTGTGTGGCAAAGACTGCAGCACTTATAACATTCATTGCGATCCTTAAATTGCTGAATCCACATCACCTATTCGTCTACTTCCAAACATGAATTTTTACTTAACATGCTGTGCGAGGTTACGTGAATGCGTGGTTTAAGCTATGCATGCATCAATGTAACATATAGTGGTTTAGAGCGGCATAAGCACTTGGACTTGTGCCGTCATAACACAAGCACGCACGTCAGATCGAAGTCTGTTTGGACTTAACCGGTGAGACTCTTTAATTAATAACAGCAAATCAATGGTGTTCCTAGCATTCGTCCCTAGTACAACCGTGAAACGCTAAGGAAAGGTGAGGGTTCTGCGATGTGGAATTGGGCTCACAGGATAGCCAAACGATACTTACGTGTCTGGCACAGATCTCCCTCGTAGCCAACTGAACAGTTGCAACTGAATGAGTTGAATGCGTCCACACAGCGTCCACCATTCTGACAGGGCTCGCTGCCGCACTCATCAATTTCTGTGTGTAGAAATCATACACGTGAAGCACAGCGCAGAAGATCACATCCAAAGCCCGGTCTAGACTATGGCAGGGTTGGGCAAAGGTGTCTAGACTATGGCAGGGTTGGGCGCTTTCTAGGACTAATGTTGGCTTGAGTATCACAGCGTAATATTCGTTCCGCTTAGAATCCCTCCGACGGCAGGCTCGGAAATTATCTAAAACCCAAAGTGCCCATGCATTTGATATCGATGTGAAGTAAATACCAGTACGAACACAAGTACCTGTAGTAGAGAGTAGTGCGGGTCACGTCTGAACACGGCTGATTTGGATGCGAAGGTGCATTTATTTATTATCAGTGGAGAAGTGAACCAGCCTGACCAGGTGCTGTTTTCACTCACCATCCTCGCAATAGTGTCCCGTTCTGCCTGGCTGGCATTGACACATGTATGAACGACTGTCAGTGTTGAACGCACACTCTCCCTCAGTGTTGCACGGGTCGAACGCACCAGCACATAACGGATTCGTACCGTCTGTTGTGCAGAACAAGGTATCATAAACAGGGAGAAAAATGTGATAAAAACACTTTGATGGCTCAGCAAAGTGACTTTGCACCTATGGTACTAGGGTATGAAGTGTGGAATGTATGTTTCCAAAACAATAATTATTATGAAGCAGACTGGACATTGGGACAACACAGCTTGCTGTCTACAGCATTGGGTGTTACTATTAGGCTCCTCGACATTCGTCTCGTGGAGCACTCTCGGTAGGCTGCTTTAGTGCTGAAGCGTTATGCATCGTTCGCTACCTTTCGAAGCTGGAGTGCTACTCTGGCGCTAGAGCGAAGCGCTATCTTTCAAAGTGTCTATGGTGCCCGTTTTGCACCATGCAAGGCCTGTAGCTAGGCTTACTTTTAGAGCTTGTAGCTGTACCGATCACGCCTATGACCGAAATAGCTTGCTGTCTACAGCATTGGGTATGAAGCAGATTGAATGGTTTGTCAGGCAGTCTTTGTTAACGTCAATTGGCCTATGTTTCCAAGAGTAAACATAATGACTTGTTTCGCGATACTGAAGCGCAAGTCGTCCTAGATTATAATTATGGATGCTCAAGTGTAGAAAGGCAACAACTACTGAGTATACGTTATTTATTTATTTATTTATTTTTATTCTTATTTTACTAGGGGATTCCCAACAGGCATCATCGCCTTATACTTGACATGTACATACCAAGGCAGGACTTGAGCATAGTGGCGTGAGCGTCGGTCATTCCCATCAGGAACGCCAGCACATCCGTGTCCAGCTCAACCAGCTTGGTTTCGCTCATGCCAATGCTCTTGAAGATGCCCTCGTACTTCTCCGCCATCTCCTGCTCCACACCGGACTGGGTAATCCAACGAACCATACAACTTGGCCTTGCTGTGACTGCATGATAACAAAACAAAAATTAATACAATCCAAAAATACATTCTATCATCTCATGAATAATACAAAATCTTTTTCTTTAGGAAAGAAAAACTACAAATCTCAAGCTATTCTTCACCATCATTATCTATAAAGACTCTGGAATTCATGAACCAATTTTCCGGCATTCTCTCCAAATGAATTACAAGCAACCAGAGCCAATGAAACATAGGGTCAAGTAACATCACAAGGGTGGAGACAATTTCAATTTAAAAATTGTTGCATTAATCTACTTGTAGGCATATAGTCGTCAATTAAGCTACATGTACATTGTACCAGTTTACTACAACCTTTCAACGCCAGGAAATTTGCGGTTTTGAACAGGGAGTAGTAAAAATGTAAATTACCCGTAAATATAAAATACCGGTAAAAATGTAAAATCCATCACAACGGAAGCGGTTGAATCCACACGAAGGAAACATATCTATTGCTACTCGGAATGTCTTGAATCAATCTTCAGGCAACATAACAAACTGATGCCTTCAAGTGAAGCAGGACTTTAAAGATCACTACATAACAACCTGAATACTTCACGTGAAGCAGGCCTTTAAAGATCACTACAACATAACAACCTGAATACTTCACGTGAAGCAAGGCTTTAAAAATCACAACATGATACACTCGCCCGCAGGTCAAGGGGCACACGCCACACAGAGAAAACAACTAACTTTACTTACCAAGCGGCACTTGATTGTCTGGCATGGCTGGAACGGAAACCGGGTTCCCAAGCGCAGGAACAGCCGTTACCACTAGCAACATGATGGCGGCCAGCATGAAACATGGAGGCGGCATTCTGTGAGGCGAGAGATTGATCAGCAGTCCCTGTGTGGCAGCTTGCATTGACCGGGATCAGAGCTCGAACTACAACTTCTGCCTGACGAGAAAAAAATGGACTCGTTTGAAGAGAACGGCAAATAATTGCTAATCTGGCTTCTAGGGAAATCTGAGAAATGGAGGCCAGAGGAGATACTTTTATAGTAAAAGGTCTTTCACCCATATTGAACTCCTACCATTTCTTCACATTAGTTTTTGACCAGTTCTAGGTGACACTGATGTAGATAGACATACACTGACACATACACGTACATATTATGACAATATGTACATGTATGTGTCAGTGAATAATCCACCCAGTGCAGTCCTGACCGAAGAAATCCGACCTCATGAATGTAATAACGCAGGGAGGCTACTCGGCCCTAGCACCACACATACCACTCTGCACACTTCAGCGCGACACTATACATGTATGTAGAATATGTACTTTATTCATGGAGTTGGATTTCTCTGGCCAGAATTGTAGTCCCGGAGAAAACCTGTAGTATTGTAACAAAGTTAGATGACATAATCCGCCGCTCGATTTAGAGATTGCAGTGGCATTGAATTGGCGACAAGGTTCCTCATTGGCGCCGTCCGTTGGGTTCATACAAGGCGAATTGTAGGTAGTTCAGTGTCGAGTCGAGTGGAATGATAACAGCTTCGAACTCGCTGCCAACCTGGGATCACTGGGGTTTAGCAAAACCTCAAAATAACAAATTGTGTTATTGTTGCAGATAACGGTCCAGACAGCATCAATGCGACGGTCACACACACACAAACACACACACACACACACACACACACACACACACACACATACACACACATATAGTATTATATACACACACACGTATTTATACATGAACGGCTGCACATGCCTTTTGACCGCTTGCTTGCCAGCACAGTAGGAGAAATGACTGAAAAGTGCGCCTTTGATGGTTTGCCTTTTGCGTTGGCATGCTCCCGTGCCACTGGCACCGGGCACTGGCACTGAGGATTTACTTCAAATGAATGTTCAAGTGTTGTGCACGTTTCCAGCTAGTGTCTTTATGTTAGGACTTATGGGTGTGGGTGGATGCTATTTTTATTCGTGCACTTCATTTGTCTGTCAGATAATGATTGCCAAAGATGCCAGTGCCTTTAGTTTTAGCCGTGTTCATGACACAGTCACGTGAGAGCCTTGTCATGGCCTTCAGCGTTCGATCGCTCCATTCACTTACACTGTGACAGTGTTGGTATAGTATACGAAAAGCACTAAGTGCGAATTAAAAGAGCACCTTTGGGAAAAGGGCTAGACCCGATGGACTTCATAACCAGCCCAAAGCCCCAAAGGCAACTCCTTGTATAACTCAGTAGCGATTAGCGTAGGTCAATGGAACACGTCTGCTAGTAGAGACCAAAGTGATCAATTGGAATGATCACATATTTGCATCATTAAACTATTTTGTTGTTCTATAAACTTCATTGCGCTCGGTTCCGCCAGTCCCTCTGCGCTGTCCCGACTAGACCCAACAAGGTCGAAACAGTTAACTGTCTGGAGATTGAGTCTTTGCACCAATAGAGATTTGATTGACGTATCGTCTTCGGATGATGCGGCTACGAAAGCATCCGCTCTATGAATATTATAGCATCCGCTCTATGAATATTCATAGAGCGGATGCTTTCGTAGCCGCATCATCCGAAGACGATACGTCAATCATATCTCTATTGGTGCAAAGACTCAATCTCCAGACAGTTAACTGTTTCGACCTTGTTGGGTCTAGTCGGGAGAGCGCAGATGATGCAAAGATGTGATCGCTCATTGATCTCTGAACTTCTGCCGTGGACATGGAAATCAGCCTAAATGACAGGGGCCAGTGCCCTCAGTGCGCACAGAACGTTGCATGCATGGTGCACTTGTTCATTGTTGATCGTACGGAAGCTGCATATGCATGGCCAGCGCGCTTGGGCCGCTTGGCCTCCGATTGGATTTCCATATCCATGACACCATACAGGACACTAGTCACTAGTAGTAGCCTTCTTCTATAGGGCCTGAAAGGGACGACGTCAAAAACGGCCAGGGAGTAGCAAGATGACATCAGATTTCTATTTTGGATCCACTAAGGTGTGACTTTGCTATTGCCTCAGTATGTGGGTACATAGCAACCCACTCATGTCGTATGCAGGTGGGACTTTTACTTCGCCACCAGTTGTCACCCCACCCCCATTAGCCAAATCAGTCAATTTCACTGGCTATATCGCCGTGCTGTGAGTAAGACCACTTGAAAAATACAAAAACTGGATCCATGTGGATCCAGTTTTTTGACTTTTTGAAATTGTTGCTGTGCTGTGCCGTAGCACTTTCAAGCCCTATTGACCTGCGTAAATCTCGACTGAGTTATGCTACAAGACTTACGTTTGGGCTGGTCACGATGTACATCAGGCTTGGCGTGTTACGGGCAAAGGCTGAACAAGTACGTATGCGGATCATGTCCTTACTCCCAAAGGGAGATGGGAGGCGAGAGAAATGGTGTGTGTGTGCGCGCGCGGACGCGCGCGCGCGCGCGTGTGTGTGTGTGCGTGTGTGCGTGAGCCGGCTAGTTCGGTTGGTGGGTACACTTATGCCAGATAGTGTTGGGTTTGTTGCCAACGGGCTCGGCTGCTCGTAACGTTAGGTGTAATGTTGTACCTTCCACCTTTGTTGGTTTCAGGGTTTCTATTATATAATATTATCTATTTGAAGTTGTTACATACATACATACATACATGTACCTGATAACCATGGACTGCTTCTGGCTATCACGCCCCCCCCCTCGCACTCACCCACATGCACATACACACACCAAGCACGATGGCTGACGAAGATTGGCAATGAACAAGGGTTCCAGACAGCATTAGGCTAATTGGAAGTAATAATCACGGTTCGCGTGTGGCTCGGCTGGAGGCTGAGTTTTTCGCATCCCAAGGAGCGCCACCACCCTCTAGGGTCTAGGATCAAGGCGCAGATGCAGCTGCTAAGCGGTGGGAGGTGAAGAGTCAGACCCGCCACAAATTGGTCAAAGACCTAACATCCCATTCGCTGCATCCATGATTTCCTCGTGCCAGGCCACGAGTTCCCAATTAACCACAAATTGGTCAAAGACCTAACATCCCATTCGCTGCATCCATGATTCCCTCGTGCCAGGCCACGAGTTCCCAATTAACTGTGGGTCGCAGCACGGCTGGAAAAATCCTTCAGCTTCCGAGCAGGACTTGAACCTGGTATCCCCTCGCAGCGTGAGGCAGTGTCGCTGATTGAGTTGATTAGGTGGTTTGGAGGCAATACCATTGTGAACGGCCAACGGTCCTCAGCGTTTGTTCAGCACCTCTATGACTTATGGACACTGACTCATGCTGCTATCTGGTGTTCACGAGGTGTTTGTCGCGCTGGATACGGAGCATCTCTGTAAGTGTGAGTTTGTATCCCTGGTGATGGTTTGGTGTGGAGAGCACTATAATTAGTGGTGGTCTTCAGGCACAATCTTCCTCAGCCTACTCAAGGTCAACTGATGAGGGGTGAATTCCCCGAAACACTAGTGACCGTAAGCAAGCCGTGATACTGCAACGCGAGGGGGAGCTGGGTTAGAGTCCCGTCCAGACCACACGAAACATACTCTTGTAAATCATGTCCTGAGGGCCAGCATAGTGGCAGGAGTGTGTGGTAAAAAAAAAGACGAGTTCAGAGGGGTCTACTCGTCGTGACCGCAACAGGTGGGTTTCAGTCCAGTGGCCGCGATTTCAACCATGATACAGAGAATCGCGCCTCCTTATTCTGCGATTTTTCTCAAATTTCGAGAGTGTTTCATCCATTCTTGTTGGAATAACTTGATTATAATAGCGAAACGTGCCAAACAACCAGTAGGACCATTGATTTTGGCATAACTATTACTAACATGCCATGGAACAGAACAGGATCGAGGGTGACCACAGTGCCGGAAAATAGATTTGGTCAAGACCATTTCTTGCTGGTTTTTTTGTCGAATTTTCCGAAAAGTACTTATTAATTTTTTCGAATGTTCTCAACTGAGTGGCTCCATTGTAAAGTCTTTCGGAGATTTTTTTGACACGGACCTCGCGAACATACCACCTTGCTGCACCCATCCATCCGACGATGTGGATGTCATGGGGTTTCTTTCACGTTCGTTCGGGTAAAAGTCAGTCAAGCTGAGAATTGTTCTCAAGGAAAAGTTCGCAAAAAGTCAGTGCATGAAAAAAATACTCAGAAAACTGTTTGAAATTGTTGAGCAGCTGACACACGTAGACGGGTTGTGAACGCGAGAAGCTAATCCTATAAATCATGCCGTATTTCACGTGCGTTCCGTTGAACTCGTTCCCATTGACGTTTCACGGCTTGCTAATGATCCCTAGTATGTATTGAGCAGGAAGTGGTGCTTTTTTGCAGGTTTGCCAAGTGGAAGTTCGATGGACTTCCGGCGTGCTCTGGATGGCAGTCGTGAATCAGTCAAGATTCAAGTCGACAAGAAAAGTGCGAGCTCCCCACGTAGGGAGTGACAAACAATTCCCAAAGTACCTACTACCTATATCTCCGAATTCGCCCCAAACCTCGTCTTAACATTGTTATGACTGCACACTTTGTTTTAGTCATAGCCATTTTATGCTCACTGTCTCCTCGACGTTAGTCTAAAGTTTACTGTTAATTCGTATAACGCAATAGAAATGGCAACAAGAACTGCGAAGATGACTATGACTCAGCCTGTGCAATGGCATGGACAAGACTTATTTTGCAACAAACATAACACCAAACCTGCCCAAGCACTTGGTTACAAGTACGGGGAGGGGAGCACTATTCAACAGGGGCTTCATATTTTCATTCGTTCTGAAGTCAATCTGTCCTCCCCTTCTCTCACTTTGTTGAGCTTCTCAGGGCCGGGCCGCTATTCGAGATAGGGCACAATTCGAGAGAGGGCTATAATCGCGCCTGTAAGATCATAAAACACAATAAGAGGACCAACATTTTACAAGTGAGTTACAAACTGTCCGTTGTTTGTATCCAACACTAACATAGAAGCAAGATGCCGGTGAGTCTGAACGCACAATAACTAGCACAACAGTGACTGATGTGATACTGAAATACTGACGTCCTTTTCTGCTTAGCCGCATCAGGTC